CTGCAGCTGGAGCTGGTGCAGCAGATCGCCCAGCACCACGCGGCGTCACCGGCGCAGGTGCTCTATCAGTGTCTTGGAGAGCAGCAGACCAGAGAGGAGCAGGATGGAGCAGGGTACTTGGTGGGTTTGAGAGCATGGGGGAGTCGTTTGGTGTTTGAGATGTCCAATAGATGTTTTTCCGCACTTTGCCCGTCATCTTCTATGCTGCGAACAAACATGTAACTATCAGTTGATGGGGCATAGTCATGGGAGTTTAGACACCGGAACCTACGAAAAAGAACGGAATCCTTGTTGGTGGGGCATATAGTCAAGGGTGCTGGGATTTTAGGCACCAGGACCCATAGAATCCCGTAGGAATACAGTGGACCAGTTGGGTGTGTTCTCGTGGAACGAACGAGAATGTTCACCCCCCCCATGTCCGGTCACAAAGCAAACGGTTTGCAAGAGATTCCAAAATGGCTCTGCCATTCACCAAAGCCATTTATGAACTGTTCTTAGAACATTGGGAGGTCTTTTGTTTCTTTTTCAGTTGTGTTTTTAAAGAAAACTTGCCAAAACCGCGCCCTCCACGTGACCCGAGTCTCTCGCCCCAGTTGGGCCTCCCAGCGGGGTGCCGCCGTGGTGACCGGTGGAAGCTCCAAGGACCGGGGACCGGGACGGGACAAGGACCGTCGTGGTGGTTTTTGGATGCGAACCACCAGAACCACCAGAAGAGTTGGTCGTGTTTTTTGGAAAGTGATGGAAGAGTTATCCGTGTTTTCGTTCACCAGGTTGTGCACTTGATTGTTTTTCTTTCATGAATCAGAGAGCTCTCGGTTGTTTCACGTGTTCAGGTTGCTGCCAAGTGCCCATGGAGCGCCCCATCTTTGGGCCACAAAATTTACCCCACATCACTCCACAAAGCTCATGAAGCAGAGATCGATATTCCGTTCTTAACGTTGTTGAAATACCTTGGAAATTTTGATGGTTTAGGTGATGTGTTTTGGAATCGGTTTAAGCCGTATAACGTACTTGGTGAATGGCGGTCGCCAGGAGCACCTGATGGAGAACCTGGACCTCTTCCGTTTCGCACTCACCGAAGAGGACGGCAACGGTGCGAGTCACGGTTGGGATGAGTCTTGAGGACCCCCAAAATGTGAGGATCTCCCTGCGAAAGAGGGCGAAAACCAGGGTGCAAACCATGGCGAAACCACGCCAGTCTTAGCAAGTCGACCGCTCCAGGAGATGTCCGCCTTGAACTCATGGATCCCGGAGGCGATGATGACCAAGAGCTATGGTCCACTGCCCGAGGAGATCCTTTGAACCGACCGAGGAGATCCAGAGAGCGACGCCCCCAACACTGCGGGTGTGGTGAGATGAGATGCGTCCGGATCTTGCTGGGCAAAGAACGACGATTTACGACGAGGATCACGGGCACTTCACACTGCTTCGGGCTGCAAACCGATGCCATCGAGCCCTGCGAAGCTGCACGTGCCTTGGGCGAAGTAGATGTGGCGCGGTTGGTGCGGTCGACACGTAGAACCGCCAGGGGTGGCTGCAGTCGTCCTAGCAGCGGGAGAATCGTGGAACCTGTGCTGGAATCGGTGTGTATAGGTGTGCTATAAGAAGATTCAAGTGTGAGCCACAGTCAGTGGCCACCGTTAGGTAAGTAGGGTGCAAAGGATGTTGTATCTTGCATCTCACCATGTGACCTGCCGCATGTATTTTGCATGGTGAGAGATGTGTGCATGGGTGCGTGGTCGTTCCAGGCGCTCACCAGGAGTACCTGGATCAGTGACCGATCGATCCAGTGCTGGCTTGGCTCGCAGCAGCTTCATGACACATGAGCTTGGATGAGTCATGAGGAATCTAGCTGCTCTAGCATTCATCAAGGTTTCAAGATCCAAGTTTTTGACTTATGACAGACTCTTCTGGCTTCAATTTGCAGCACCTCTCGAACTGCAGCATCTCGCTGCCTGCTCCAAGATGGAGTGGTTCTCGGCCATGGCTGTGGTCGTATCTGTCCTGATGTTGCTTCTTTGTGGGTGTTGCATTCTATTAATCTTTTTGGACTGGCTGCAGACGATGCGGGAGGATTTGAAAAGGCCAGCATACACTCTTGGTGCCCCTCATTGCTCGGCATGCCATGAAGACAGCGATGAGTCGCAAGAAGATGCCAAAGGCCTTTTACTCACTTGCGATTCCTCTGGCGATGAAGACGAAGGTCATGTCCGCGATTCGCGCGAGTCTTATGATCAGGAAGAGGATCCAGAGCGAGAGAAGGAGGCGGCTAGATTGATCAAGACATGGGTGTTTGTAGTTGTATTTAAATTGTTAAATGAATTAAGCCATCTCCCCCCATGCGATACCTGATCAAAGTCAACAAAACCTGCGTATGCCCTGGCAGCAACAGGAACACCTCAAAGAGCTCATCCGTCAGCGCGTGAAATGGGAGGGCCGCCTAATGGTGGTGCTTCCCGTGGTGCCTTTGCTCTCATCTCCATGGACGACATGCACAGGTGGTATGCCCACCTGGGCATACATTATATATCTGCCTTTCCTCTTGAAAGCGAAAGTGACCGAATCTTGCACGAGTTAATAGTAGGCTGTTTAGGAAACAGCTTGTCTTGTTGCCAACTGCTCAACCTGTTTGCATGGAACATCACGGTTCACCTTTTCATCCACTTTGCACAGAAATCCCACGGTGAAAGTAATGGGTTCTCCTGTTTGTGGCTGACCAAGGAAGCTGTGATGCTTCAGAAATTGCAATCTCCAGAGTACATTTGGTCTTTGGAGCATATTTTGGGCTTCTGGCTTTGGGGCCCTTTGGAGCACCTCGACCCTTGGCCAACCAGAGCCGGCCCTGCAGCTTTTTTGCATTCTTTTGCTAGTTTGTTT